TAAAAACTGCTTGTAAATCTCTTATTATGCTATATTATGACCAAATATTCAATTCAATCTTTTTGAAAAATGCAAGTGCTAGTTAACGTTTGTTTTTTTACATTAGACTAAATTGTACTGACTTTGCTAACACGTACAACAGCTTCCGGCCAAAGAAATAAGATAATTTTTGTACTTGTTTGGGATGCACATGGTTGTTAGAATTGACGGCTCAATTTTTTCAGAGAAAAATATGCAATTTGGTTCAGATGCTGATATTTATATGGACAAAAGCTGATGCTTATAAATGTAAACCAATGAGATCTTTATAGCAGTAGCAGATACTTACATAAAATGATTTAAATATCAGTCGTCACTCTATATCTCCAACAATATGTCTTAAGATGAGATTTAAATGATCCAAACATTTAATGCAATGCAATCCAATGCTGACTGAGAGATAAACATGAAATCAATCATGAGATCAAAGCACTTTCCACCATCAGGATCCTAATTAAACTGCTGTTGCCTTTTTATAAACTTAGATTTTTACTCAAGCGTTTTGAAAAACCTCAATAAATGAACGGACATGGACTCCAGACCCCTAAAACAACTGCCAAAACAACAAAAGAGGAAGAAGAACTGCAGCATGGAACATTTCTGGACCACTGAAGAATTTGTGACACGCCTCAGACGTGTCGAAGATCTGCAGCGACATGCTGCATCTGATGCGCTTCAGGAGGAAACCAAGCCAAATGAGTCACTCATACTCTGATATTTTTTTGAGAAAGCCAACCTACCGATCTGCTACTTAAGCTTTTTATTCTTCTTCTTCGACTAAATTTCTGAGCGCTACTCCTCCTAGAGCTTTCAAGCTAGAACCACCAAACTCAGCCCAGCTCTTCAGACTGATCTGACTTAGTGTGCTTTATCTTTTCTAACTGATCCGACTTATGGTTTTCATAAAAATGAAGATTAAAAATCATAAAAATCCCATAGACTTACATTGACGGAATGTTCAGATGAGCCAAGACTATTCAAACTCCAACTGTCAAAATTTAAACTTAAACTCCCAGAATCCCTTGAGACTCAATCAAGCTTCCCTTCTATGTACTATTTCTAACCCATTCAAACTCTATCTATCCATCTATGCGACATGCTAATCATGCTAGCGACATGCTAGTAACTTGCTAATCATGATAGCAACATGCTAGTAGCATGCTAATCATGCTAGCAAAATGCTAACGATGCTAGAAAAATGCTAACGACATGCTAGTAACTTGCTAATCATGCTAACGACATGCTAGTCACTTGCTAATCATGCTAGTAACTGGCTAATCATGCTAGCAACATGCTTGTCACTTGCTAATCATGCTAACAACATGCTAGTAGCATACTAATCATGCTAGAAACATGCTAGCGACATGCTAGTAACTTGCTACTCATGCTAACGACATGCTAGTAACTTGCTAATACATGAATAATGCTAGCGACATGCTAGTCACTTGCTAATAATGCTAACAACATGTTAGTCACATGCTAATCATGCTAGTAACTTGCTAATCATGCTAGCAATATGCTAGTAACATGCTAATCATGCTAGTCACTTGCTAATCATGCTAGTAACTGGCTAATCATGCTAGCAACATGCTTGTCACTTGCTAATCATGCTAACAACATGCTAGTAGCATACTAATCATGCTAGAAACATGCTAGCAACATGTTAGTAGCATGCAATCATGCTAACAACATGCTAGTAACTTGTTAATCATGCTAGCCATATGCTAGTAACTTGCTAATAATGCTAACAACATGTTAGTCACTTGTTAATCTTGTTAACAACATGCTAGTAACATGCTAGAAATATGCTAGTAACTTGCTAATAATGCTAACAACATGTTAGTCACTTGTTAATCTTGTTAACAACATGCTAGTAACATGCTAGAAATATGCTAGTAACTTGCTAATAATGCTAACAACATGTTAGTCACTTGTTAATCTTGTTAACAACATGCTAGTAACATGCTAGAAATATGCTAGTAACTTGCTAATAATGCTAACAACATGTTAGTCACTTGTTAATCTTGTTAACAACATGCTAGTAACATGCTAGAAATATGCTAGTAACTTGCTAATAATGCTAACAACATGTTAGTCACTTGTTAATCTTGTTAACAACATGCTAGTAACATGCTAGAAATATGCTAGTAACTTGCTAATCATGCTAGCAATATGCTAGTAACATGCTAATCATGCTAGTAACTTGCTAATCATGCCAGCAATATGCTAGTAACAGGCTAATCATGCTAAAAACATGCTAATCATGCTAGAAACATGTTATCAACATCTATCTTATCTAAATTTTCACTGCTTTAAATTGCTTTTATTAACTGCTTTAAACTTTCAGGCTAGGCTTTCTCAAGCCAACCTAAATTTGTCTTGACAAACTTTTTTTTATCTAGCTATTATTTTTAAGAGACATTCATGTTTAGATTATTTTGACCCGGGTATGAACTGAGTCCAATTAAGTAGTTTTTGTAAAATAATCTATTAAGTTATATTAGTGTCAAAAAGCTTTTGTAAAATACATTTAGACTTTTCTCCATATCTCACACACGTTTGGGACTGAATTCTGTTGATGAACATGAATTTGTACGTCTATTGACGAAACATTGCAGCATGAAAACATTGATCTTTTTTATTTGAAACTGAAAGTTTGTGCAAGTAAAATGGAATTGTTTTCTTTAAAAACTTTTCAGATAAATTTTTACGTTCTTTTGTTAGAAACAAATATGTAGCCTAGGTTTCATAAATTTGGGCAGTTTTTTGTGAAATTATAAAGTCAAAGAAATTTAATTAAATTCCATTATTTCCAATGAGGTAATAGTGGTAATTCTCATATTCTTATGAGTTACACAAAAAAATAAAATAAATAAATAATGCAAATACAAAACTTGCGTGTAATTTGAAATTTCAAAGAATTTAATTTTTTTTCCATTAATAAAAAAGGGATAAACGCAGTTATAACATGTTAATATTCAAAGCTTGAACGTAAAAATTTTCACATTCGCCAAATAATGTATGGAAGCCCATTTCCGCCCCATAAGAAAAAAAAATCATACCTTAAAAAATATATATTTATTGATTTATTTCACGTTCTACCCCAAGAAAACGCTCAACGTGCAACTCAGCGCGTTGTGTTTATATTCTGCTGGTCTGTTAATGGTATATGCTTTATTAATAAGGTTTAAGTATGTCATAACTTTGACTTTCTAATGCATGAATTTTTTTCTTACGTGGCAGAAATGGGCTTCCATAATAATGAGAGGTTGCTGATTAGGTACAATACAGTTTTAGCTGACAAATATATGAAAGATATTTATAAAATAACAATTTTTAGGTCCAAACAGACACAGAATGTAAAAATAGTTACACAGATTTTGAATGCAATGCGAGGGTTAACAAAATACCGATTGTTCAGCTGATGAAATGTCTTCCCAATAAGTCTATTCTTATAGAATTAAAACAATTAAAACTTTATTCGTTCATGGAGCACATCCCACATTACCGCCAAAAAGCTTTCCCCCCCATTAACACGGATTTGAAAGCAGCTGTGTGTATTATATTCCATGCAAACAGAAGTTTTCGATGTTTGCTAAAGATCAGTTTTTAAGGGCTCTGAATTTACTGTGTGCTGCGAGGAGGCGCGTGATCGATCACATGACATTTACGGCTCAGGTGATACATTACAAACAATACTGAAGTACACATACTGCAGAAATAGTAGTGTGCTACTCTGAATATATTCTTAACAGTCACACAAGTCACTCACCCAGCAGGAGTCCAGGTGTGTTTCTCTGGTCAACAACGAATAGCTGCTTGTCTCAATCTGTCCTGCACTGGAGACTGAAGTCATTTAACTAGCAAAAGAGCTGTGAACTCCTCCCTGCGGAGGTCAAACATTAACACACGTACAGTACAGTACAGTACAAGAGAACCGTGAGAGTCCAGACATCTGTGCTGTTCACCATCCTGCTTTATGACAATGTTTTGGCACGTTTTTTGTTGGCGCCATTTAAGATTACGGCTGATATGATCCTATAAACTTTTATTTTATTGTAAATGCATTTTAGAAAAATGAGTAACACTTTACAGTAAGGTACAAACTACATTAGCTAACAATGTAAGCATTTACATACAAAAAAAAATAACAATTATTAATCCCGAGTAAATTTCAACATTTACGAACGCATTATTAAAATTAAAAATTTAACCTGAATATATTTTTTAAAAGACATGCACTAATAATGAACGGTTGTATTTTATTAACTAACGGTAGCACATGATCCTCACTGCTATTTTTAGATTTAACTAATGTTAATTAACAAGCTCTTATTGTAAAGTGCAATCAAAAAACACAATCATGAAAAGATTACTGCTTTAAAAGGTGATTCATGCAATTAATTGTCAAATAGCAGAATGTGTCAACTATTTAAATAATTTGGATTATTATTTTGATTTTCAGGTTTGCAAAGCAACATGAATTAAATAATGGAGATTCAAAGAGGTCAAATTATCTGAGCACAGAATATGGCCCCAAAATAAATAAATAAAAATAAATGAAAAAAAACAAAAAAACAACAACTTGGATTTCATGACACCATCTTTTCACCATTCACAAAAATTTTTTTTATTACTATTTATATTATTCTGTTTATTTGAATTATTTTTAGATAATTTTTAAATAATATTTGACTATTGTCTTAATAGAAGTAAATGTATTTTAAAGTATGCATAATATTTTAATTATGCATTAAGCAGCATTTTTTATCCAAAGCAGTTGTTGTTATTATATAGTGTCATACACCCTTTATTCAGTACATGCCACAATCTCGAAAAATCATTAATAAAAATGATCTACTAAATGACTGTAATTTTCACATGGCCTCAACTGCTGAGATTAAATTGAGATTTTCTTCATTTCTATTATTAATTAAAAAAAACACCCAAGATTATGTTGCGAAAACTGTTTATTAAATGTGTATAAAAAGCAATATATAGCATTAATTAACACAGCCACCAATTCATTTGCTCTGCTGCTGCTATTATTTTACAACAACTTGACTTCATAAGCTGTTCCTCACGTTACTGATGAGCTCAGACAAAACCAGCTCTGAAGACTTCTGTTCTGGATTCAGAATCATGCGGAAAAAGTCTTTCCATAAAGGCTCGACGGGAGCGCTGAAAAAAACAAAACAAGAGCAGCTTGTCTCACATTCATTTGATCAAATATTTTCATGTTAAACTCACAAAAATGCCACATTTCACCCAAAAAATCACCTGAAATTTTGAAATAATAATAATAATATTCATGCAAAAGATACATTTATAATATCTATTACTGTTGTTTTTATTTTAGAAATTATTTTTAAACATTTTATTTAAAAAAATACATTCATTTAAAAAAAAAAAAAAAAAAAAAGGATTATTTTCAAGACAAATCAAACACATTTGTCCCAAAATCCACATTACTAATATTACATAAACGTGACAATTTGCATAAACTAGACTGAAAATATATTAAAAAATAATTCCAAATATTAATATGATTAAAATGATACTGGTAAATATATAATGCTAAATAAATGTGTAAATATTAGGGGTGGGGGGGGGGAATCGATACAGCAACAAATATTATAAAAGGTGTGCACATACATTTTTTTATTATTACAATGATCACACTAAAAGCACTTTATTCTCATGAAAGTTACTTGTCAAATCTGTCAAAGTCTGTATGTTTTCTTTTGATTCGGGGGTAAAACATGGCTTGAATATGTTTTTCTGTACAATGATAACAGCTGCTGTTGGCACCTGTGCTGAGATCCAGATCCTTCATCTAAACTCCAGGCCGAGTTTTCCTGCTTCACTTTCATCGAGCGATTAAACAGCAGCATGTGCACGACTTCTGCAACGCTGATCAGATCGACCTGTGCAAGAGAGCAGAAACACCACAGAAATTAAGTGCAAAAATGACCGCTTGGTTATTCTCTAAAGATGATTCACTATTGCATTTTAAATTCACCGTGAGGCAGGGTTCACAATGCATTTAAATGATTTAATGTGACATTTTACAGTGAAACGGAATATTCAGCATGAAATAATGCAGAAAAAACAGCAGCAGACTGAATATAAAAATAAAGCATTAAAAATTAAATGAAAATAGCTAAAAATAAAATGCAAGTAAATAAAAGCAAAACAAAAAATAAAGATTAATAAAAAATTAAACAATAAATAAATAAAAATTTAAATGTGTAAAAATGAACTGAATATAAAAATAAAGCATTAAAAATTAAATGAAAATAGCTAAAAATAAAATGCAAGTAAAAGCAAAACAAAAAATAAAGATTAATAAAAAATTAAACACAATAAATATATACAAATTTAAATGTGTAAAAATTCAAATAAATAAATACACACACATAACATATAAAAATAATTTAAATTTATACAAATATTAATAAATGCTAAATATAAATATTTAAGTGTAATAAAAAAATATAAAATTTAATTATATAAAAAGTAAAACAAATAAAAATAAAATAAAAATGTAGTAAATACAAATTTAATAAATAAAAATACATAAAATATTTATAAATAAAATAATATACAAAAAGTTGGTAACACTCTACAATACATTTCATTAGTTAACTACTTTAGTTAACATGAACTAAGAATAAACAATACTTCTACAGCATTTATTAATCTTAATGTTAATTTCAACATTTACTAATGAATTATTAAAATCTAAATTTGTGCTTGTTAACAGTTAATGCAGTGTGAATTAACATGAACTAACAATGATCAACTAACATTAACAAAGACTAATAAATACTGTAATAAAAGCACTGTTCAGTGTTAATATTCATGTTAGTTAATACATTAACTAACAGTAACTAATGGAACCTTATTGTAAAGTGTTACCATCAAGTGTTATATATATATATATATATGAGACCCTGGAGCACAAAAGCAGTGTTAAGTCGCTGGGGTATATTTGTAGCAATAGCCAACAATA